GGGGGGTGGGTGGGGTGGTGGAGGTTGGGGAAAGGAGAGGTTGAGAACTTTTATTGAATATTTCGATCTTTCTGTTGTGACGTTGAATCCCTTTCAGTGCAACTTTACCCGGGCAGGTGGGACCCTATCCCGCCTCCTAGATCTTCTAAATCATGTCGATTTGGGCGTAGAAGCACCATTATTTTTAAAAAATGGGGTCCACAACAAGATATCCTCCCTGATCCACACAGTGCGTTAGTCTTGTAATGTGATGAATATTGTTTTTCGTCTGTGTGTTCATGTTCAGGTTTGTTCTTCCTTGACGGACCAGACTGGCGACGCATCCGGTCCACTCTCTCCTCCGTGTTCAGCAGTGGGAAGCTGAAAGTGATGACGTCACACATCAACAGAACTGGCGAAAACCTTGGGAAACATTTGCTGGCGAAAGCGACACAAAAGAAACTAATTGACGTGAAGCATGAGTGTGGTAAGCTCAGTTGCCTCCTCTCTGATTTAATATATCTGCACACGTTTTTGGAAGTGTTTTTGTTTTGTTAGTTTTTGTTTTGTTTGTTTAATTGGTTGTTCGTTTGGTTGTTCGAGTTATTTTTGTTTTGATTTGCTTAGTTTTGAGGGGGGGGGGGATAAACTTGATTTTCTGCACTTGTAACCAGAAACCTCTTTCTTATAAAACGGAACCTTGTTATGAATCTAAACCCTATGAAGACACAGTCTAGAAATGTTAAAGAACCCAATTGTCAATCAAGTATCAAGGCTGGGAAATGTTTCAAATCATTATCCCTTCCCAGTTTGGAGTCTTTGCACTTGACAAATCCAGTCAAAGTGGTCTGCCTCCTTATCTGTCTTAATTGTGTTTGTGAAGATGTAAAACACCTTCAATAAAAACAATAAATAACAATGATTCATCGTACCAGAATTCGCGTTTATAAAATCTACAACCTCTTTATTAATTGTTGGCTTTCCAGATTGTTTTAAGAAGCCCTCGGATCTGCTAGCATGATGATGTAGATTGTAAAGCGCTTAGAGCTTACTGTTGAGCTCAGTACAGATGCTATCTACTAGTATTTGATGATCAGACTCACAAATACATGAAATATCCAGGAAGTGTCAGTGACTCGAGGTTCATATGGGTGGTCACAGAGGTGTGTCCTTGAGCAGGACACGATGACCCTTGCTAAAAAAGGTTCTGCACAGTGGACTCCAGCAATGGCATGTTTGTACTATCTGTACATTTCAGTATTAATGCTTCTATATACCGATCTATTTATATGTTTATGCGCCGTATTAACGTATTCATGTATCGTATATGCATATATAATATTATATGTAACGCCATTGTAAATCAAATTTCCTCATGGAGATCAATAAAAGTATACTTTATTTTAACCTTCAGAAACTGTTTTTTAATCTTACCACCTCTTCCTCTGTTGGTTCTAGGTCACTACACGTCAGAGCTGATAGCTACCCTGAGTTTCGGCGTCAACCCAAAGGCTGTAGGTCAGGACGATGATGCGGAGTTCACAGTACACACAAAGGGACTCATCAATCCGAACCCAGGATCAAAGTTGATTTTGTGGTACGTCAATCCAACATCATTACCACCCACTTCTATTTAATTCTCCCCCCCCTTCCCTCCTTCCTCATCACCATCGCTTGCAACCACTCCTACCTAATTCCAACACCCCCCTCACCACCATCAATTCCACCCGAACCCCCTGTGATTTTCTATTGTTCCCGTAAATTCCTACTGTCATCTGCTGTCATCGTCAATTTTTGCCCCCCCCTTTCCCCCATCCCCTGGGCTCCTGACTCTTTCTACTGTTACTCCTGGCAACTTCTTGCTGATTTCCTTCAGCTACATCCTTGATCTTAGGGTAGGTAAGATTTAACACCCAGCCTTCTTGGATAAGGGCGAAAAAAATCAAAGAGGTCCCGTGTGCAAGTTGTATAGTCTAAAATTCCCTTGGTGGGCCTAACATCGATAAAAGTGAGCTTCGACCGCCATCTGGGCAAAATAAAAAAATTAATTCCTACCAAACTGAAAGTGTTTAATGTGTCACTTGCGTTCATAAGACCTTATGCAGTTGCATGTGCCGTAAAACACTTACCAACACATCAAAAGACACACACATAACCTACTATTTCTCTCTATCCATCAGGCTGCTCGATACGCTCTCCTACTTCTTCCCCTTCCTCTTCCCCCTCATGTTCCGCCTGGGCGTACTACCAGATTTCGTGACGCCCTCAGCAGACAGATACTTCTCCAGCACACTGGAGTCGGCCATCGACGCGAAGCGGGGACAGACGGCCAAGAAACACACTGACATGCTCGGTACCCTATATTGTATAATATTACATTTTTATGTATACGATATGTAACTGAACAACATTTGCTAGCATATATCTGGAATAACTAGAGGTGTCATCTCTGACTCAGAGGTTGACGTGCAATGACCCTCCACCCTTCAAGGTCGCAAGCTACCGTTTCACATTCTGCTGTACCCAGACCAGTCCCTGAATTTATATTGTCCATCCATCTTACTCTTTGTCTACCTCTGGCTCTCCGGCCCCACACCCTTTCTTTTAGATCCTCTTTCCCAGAGGTCAGGTGTTCATAATATATGTAAGGATGTAGATAGATAGATAGATAGATAGATAGATAGATAGATA